TTTTCTAAAGCTACAGCCTGTATTGTGTGCCTTTTTAATTTTATAGCCAAGTTTGCACGTGAAAAGGGTCTATTAATTATTATGATGTGCTATTTTTAGCAGTAAGTAGAGTACAGTGATGTTTATATATGATCAGATGATGATACATGTGTTATTTTAGTTGATATGTTGAGATTTGAAAAATAGTTTGAGAAAGGTCTAAACTTCTTGATGTTCGATTTGATTCTGATCTAGCTAGCCAGTCGCTTGACCTTCTTTACATCGGCAGTTTTTGTTTATTTACAAACTGTTTAAAATGACTCCCATAATACATGTACGAAATTGGTGCATATATGTCAAATTTACCCAATTCCCACTCCCTTTTGACTTGTTGTTTTATAGGGTTAACGCACGTTTTTTCGTGTTATAACGTCTGCAGAGTTCCGAGGGACTCCGCAGACTTTTTAAATCCTTGTGATTCAATTCTACATGTTTTACGTAGATCTATGCGTTTTATTTTTTCCGGGGCCAACAACTCGGGAGAAATACAAATGCTCAGAACCGTTCGAAAATTCGTTTGTCGTTTAATATGCGATTGCTCAACGCCATCGAATCAATAATTTCAATATAACACTTTGGCAAACAGACCAAATCGTCATTTTTTTGTTTGTTTACTGGGCCCTTTATGTATTGCGCATAGGTAAGACCGGGCTATAACAAGAGCGCGTGACTATGTTAACACATGGTTTTGGTCCCGTTAAAACATGGGCAAAAGAGTGAAAAATAGCTGATTTTATGCTATAATATGTATAAGCCACTCCTTTTCAATGCTATGTTTATCACAGTTAGTTTAGTTTAGAAGTCTTGTATGTATTATGAAACTGATCAATTAATATGTTTGTGTTTTAATATCAATATTTTTTGTACTTGTAGATCTACAGTACTTGGAAGCTGCCAGGTTCTTCTAATTGTATCATTATAATAATATATTCCAATATTTCTTGTCTGGAAACCCCTTTGAATGGAAAAGACTGGAGGGTCTTGGTCGTGGTGCATACAGGAGGATGTGGATGGTTGTGTATGTGTTGGAATGAGGCATGATGGAGCAATTGGGTATTTAACTATACATTATTTTAAGGATTTTATCATAGTAACTTTTTTTTATAAACAATTTGGTAATTTGTGTTGTGTAAATTTGCGCACAATGTAAGGTATTATTGAGTATTTTACTATATTTTACTTGATTTAAATGAATTTTTCGTTTAGAAAAGAACTAAGATTATTTTATTCAGTTGAGAATTACAGTTGATTATCTATAGCTAGTTAGACTGAAAGGTCAGTGGTTCTATTCATGATGTCAGTTTGCTACTCCTTGCATTTTAATGGTATATTTTTTTCTGCCACATAACTTTAAACCATTAAATAACAAGTTGTTGTCTGTTCAGTTGGAAAGTAATTTGCTAAAAATATTGTAGATGTTAAAATTATGAGATTAAAATGTTTTTTTTGTTACCCTCTGATCTTTCAGACCGAGGAGTTGCATCAAATGTGATGATGAATGCACTTTGCAGGCTAATGAATTGCATCAAAATGTTGCATGCTGATGCACTTTTGCAGAACTATGGAGTTGCATCAAATGTGATCTGATTGCACTTTTGCAGACTAGCATCAAATGTGCATGCTAAGAATGCACTTGTTGCAGACGTATGGAGATTGCACATTTGCAGACTATGATTGCATCAAATGTGATGCTGATTGCACTTTTGCAGACTTTGCACAAATGTTTGCTGATTCACTTTTGCAGACTATGGAATTGCATCAAATGTGATGCTGATTGCACTTTTGCAATGCATCCAAATCAGTATGATGCGCATGCAGACTATGGAATTGCATCAAAATGTGATGCTGATGCACTTTTGCATCATTGTGGACTATGGATTGCATCAAATGTGATGCTGATTTGCACTTTTGAGACTTGGAGTTTTTTTTGCATCAAATGTGATGCTGATTGCACTTTTGCAGACATGAGTTGCATCAAATGTGATGCTGATTGCTACTTTTCCAGACTATGGGACTTGCATCATTTGCACTTTTGCAGCTATGGATTGCATCAAATGTGATGCTGATTGCACTTTTTGTTGCAGACTATGGAGCATCATTTGCACTATCAAATCAAATGTGATGCTGATTGCACTTTTGCAGACTATGGAGTTGCGCATAAAATTTGCACCTTAAACTTGCAGGCTATGGATTGCATCAAATGTATGCTGATGATTGCACTTTTTGCAGACTATGGAGTTGCCCATAAAAATGTTATGCTGATTGCACTTTTGCAGGACTATGGAGTGCATCAAAATGTGATGCTGATTGCACTTTTGCAGACTTTGGTTTTTGCATCAAATGGAGCTGCATTGCACTTTTGCAGACTATGGAAATTGCATCAAATGTGATGCTGATTCACTTTTGCAGCTATGGAGCTTGCGATCAAAATGTGATGAGATTGCACTTTTTCAGGACTATGGAGTTGCATCAAATGTGATGCTGATTGCACTTTTGCAGACTATGGAGTTGCATCAAATGTGATGCTGATTGCACTTTTTTGCAGGACTATGGAGTTGCATCAAATTGATGCTGATTGCACTTTTGCACTATGGAGTTGCATCAAATTGATGCATTGCACTTTGCAGGGCTATGGAGTTGCATCAAATGTGATGCTGATTGCACTTTTGCAGACTATGGAGTTGCATCAAATGTGATGCTGATTGCACTTTTGCAGGCTATGGAGTTGCATCAAATGTGATGCTGATTGCACTTTTGCAGACTATGGAGTTGCATCATCATTTGCAGACTATGGAATTGCATCAAATGTGATGCTGATTGCACTTTTGCAGACTATGGACTTGCATCATTTGCAGACTATGGAATTGCATCAAATGTGATGCTGATTGCACTTTTGCTATGACTTGCATCAGACTATGGAATTGCATCAAATGTGATGCTGATTGCACTTTTGCAGACTATGGACTTGCATCATTTGCAGACTATGGAATTGCATCAAATGTGATGCTGATTGCACTTTTGCAGACTATGGAGTTGCATCAATGTGATGCTGATTGCACTGCAGACTATGGAATTGCATCAAATGTGATGCTGATTGCACTTTTGCAGACTATGGACTTGCATCATTTGCAGACTATGGAATTGCATCAAATGTGATGCTGATTGCACTTTTGCAGACTATGGACTTGCATCATTTGCAGACTATGGAATTGCATCAAATGTGATGCTGATTGCACTTTTGCAGACTATGGACTTGCATCATTTGCAGACTATGGAATTGCATCAAATGTGATGATGAATGCACATTTGCAGACTATGGAGTTGCATCATTTTGCAAACTATGGAATTGCATCAAATGTGATGCTGATTGCACTTTTGCAGACTATGGAGTTGCATCATTTGCAGACTATGGAATTGCATCAAATGTGATGCTGATTGCACTTTTGCAGACTATGGACTTGCATCATTTGCAGACTATGGAATTGCATCAAATGTGATGCTGATTGCACTTTTGCAGACTATGGAGTTGCATCAAATGTGATGCTGATTGCACTTTTGCAGGCTATGGAGTTGCATCAAATGTGATGCTGATTGCACTTTTGCAGACTATGGAATTGCATCAAATGTGATGCTGATTGCACTTTTGCAGACCAGACTATGGAATTGCATCAAATGTGATGCTGATTGCACTTTTGCAGACTATGGACTTGCATCATTTGCAGACTATGGAATTGCATCAAATGTGATGCTGATTGCACTTTTGCAGACTATGGACTTGCATCATTTGCAGACTATGGAATTGCATCAAATGTGATGCTGATTGCACTTTTGCAGACTATGGAGTTATTGCACTTTTGCAGGCTATGGAATTGCATCAAATGTGATGCTGATTGCACTTTTGCAGACTATGGACTTGCATCATTTGCAGACTATGGAATTGCATCAAATGTGATGCTGATTGCACTTTTGCAGACTATGGACTTGCATCATTTGCAGACTATGGAATTGCATCAAATGTGATGCTGATTGCACTTTTGCAGACTATGGACTTGCATCATTTGCAGACTATGGAATTGCATCAAATGTGATGCTGATTGCACTTTTGCAGACTTTTGCAGACATCAAATGTGACTGCATCACTTTTGCAGACTATGGAATTGCATCAAATGTGATGCTGATTGCACTTTTGCAGACTATGGACTTGCATCATTTGCAGACTATGGAATTGACTGCGACAGAATAATGAAGAACTTGACATGCATGGTGGAAGTTGATTGAGACTATCATTTCTTCGAGAGGTCCAGCGACTATATACTCGCAAGAAGGATATGGTATGGAATAGCTTTCTACACCTCTGGGCTGGCAGATTTGTAAGATTGGAAGTTGTTTCAGTGTGGATTGAGATGGACACTTTGTATGGTCTTGTAAAATTTGCTTTTGAAGTCACAAGTAAGTCTTAATAAAGGTATTTCCATTTCTAGTTGTCTAACTAGCTATCTATGGGAAAGTTGATGGTTTTACTCTTAAAAGGTGTCTGTCTTTGTCCAAAACAATGCTATTAAGGCACATTTTCCGCTATCTGTAAAGTTGGACAGTCTCCATAATAAAATAAAGTTTTGTATCTGTTTAATTGAAAGAGAATTGAGCTTATAGTGTTTACATTTTGAGAATGCAATGTTATTCTTTAACCCCAGTGACATTTCAGAAAACCCGTGCAATATGTTGGCTGGATTGCTAGATTGATGTAGGAAGCTGTGATTGTGGATTTATGCGGGAATGTGGATGGTTGTGTGACACTGGTGAAGTGATGTGACATTCATGAATTGATTGTTGTGACATTGGTGAAGTGTTACTATGATGAGAAGAGACATGATGGAGCATGGGTAAATTATCTATTTTGAATTTGTGTGAGTCACAGGTCAGCCGGAGTGCAACATATATGGTGGGTTCAATTTTTCAGTAGCTAAGTAATAAATCAGTTACATATTCAGTAGAAATATAAATTGGAAGTGTCTTTTGTAGCTTTAAAGTCTATTACTGGTTTAGCTAAGAGTTTCTTTAAAATATGGTCAATGTTAACATTTTGAGATTGGAATGTTGTTTTAATGGAGAAATTGTAAGGTTATAGTGTTACTTTTTGAGATTGTAATGTTGTGCTATTAACCCCAGTGACATTTCAGTGGTAATGAAGAACTTGACATGCATGGTGGAAGTTGATCGAGACTATCAATTCTTCGAGAGGTCCAGCGACTATATACTCGCAAGAAGGATATGGTATGGAATAGCTTTCTACACCTCTGGGCTGGCAGATTTGTGAGATTGGAAGTTGTTTCAGTGTGGAGAGAGATGAACACTTTGTATGGTCTGGTAAAATTTGCTTTTGAAGTCACAAGTAAGTCTCAATAAAGGCATTTCTATTTATAGTTTTCTAACTGGCTATGTATTGGAAAGTTGGTGGTTCTACTCTTAAAAGGTGTCCCTCTTTGTCCGAACAATGTCATTAAGGCACATTTTCTTCTATCTTAAAAGCTGGACAGTCACCAAAATTAAACATAGAATGGTATCTATTTAATGGAGAAATTGTAAAGGTTATAGTGTTACTTTTTGAGATTGTAATGTTGTGCTATTAACCCCAGTGACATTTCAGTGGTAATGAAGAACTTGACATGCATGGTGGAAGTTGATCGAGACTATCAATTCTTCGAGAGGTCCAGCGACTTTATACTCGCAAGAAGGATATGGTATGGAATAGCTTTCTACACCTCTGTGCTGGCAGATTTGTGAGATTGGAAGTTGTTTCAGTGTGGAGAGAGATGAACACTTTGTATGGTCTGGTAAAATTTGCTTTTGAAGTCACAAGTAAGTCTCAATAAAGGCATTTCTATTTATAGTTTTCTAACTGGCTATGTATTGGAAAGTTGGTGGTTCTACTCTTAAAAGGTGTGTCTGTCTTTGTCCGAACAATGTCATTAAGGCACATTTTCTTCTATCTTAAAAGCTGGACAGTCACCAAAATTAAACATAGAATGGTATCTATTTAATGGAGAAATTGTAAAGGTTATAGTGTTACTTTTTGAGATTGTAATGTTGTGCTATTAACCCCAGTGACATTTCAGTGGTAATGAAGAACTTGACATGCATGGTGGAAGTTGATCGAAACTATCAATTCTTCGAGAGGTCCAGCGACTATATACTCGCAAGAAGGATATGGTATGGAATAGCTTTCTACACCTCTGGGCTGGCAGATTTGTGAGATTGGAAGTTGTTTCAGTGTGGAGAGAGATGAACACTTTGTATGGTCTGGTAAAATTTGCTTTTGAAGTCACAAGTAAGTCTCAATAAAGGCATTTCCATTTATAGTTTTCTAACTGGCTATGAATTGGAAAGTTGGTGGTTCTACTCTTAAAAGGTGTCTGTCTTTGTCCGAACAATGTCATTAAGGCACATTTTCTTCTATCTTAAAAGCTGGACAGTCACCAAAATTAAACATAGAATGGTATCTATTTAATGGAGAAATTGTTAAGGTTATAGTGTTACTTTTTGAGATTGTAATGTTGTGCTATTAACCCCAGTGACATTTCAGTGGTAATGAAGAACTTGACATGCATGGTGGAAGTTGATCGAGACTATCAATTCTTCGAGAGGTCCAGCGACTATATACTCGCAAGAAGGATATGGTATGGAATAGCTTTCTACACCTCTGTGCTGGCAGATTTGTGAGATTGGAAGTTGTTTCAGTGTGGAGAGAGATGAACACTTTGTATGGTCTGGTAAAATTTGCTTTTGAAGTCACAAGTAAGTCTCAATAAAGGCATTTCCATTTATAGTTTTCTAACTGGCTATGTATTGGAAAGTTGGTGGTTCTACTCTTAAAAGGTGTCTGTCTTTGTCCGAACAATGTCATTAAGGCACATTTTCTTCTATCTTAAAAGCTGGACAGTCACCAAAATTAAACATAGAATGGTATCTATTTAATGGAGAAATTGTAAAGGTTATAGTGTTACTTTTTGAGATTGTAATGTTGTGCTATTAACCCCAGTGACATTTCAGTGGTAATGAAGAACTTGACATGCATGGTGGAAGTTGATCGAAACTATCAATTCTTCGAGAGGTCCAGTGACTATATACTCGCAAGAAGGATATGGTATGGAATAGCTTTCTACACCTCTGTGCTGGCAGATTTGTGAGATTGGAAGTTGTTTCAGTGTGGAGAGAGATGAACACTTTGTATGGTCTGGTAAAATTTGCTTTTGAAGTCACAAGTAAGTCTCAATAAAGGCATTTCCATTTATAGTTTTCTAACTGGCTATGTATTGGAAAGTTGGTGGTTCTACTCTTAAAAGGTGTGTCTGTCTTTGTCCGAACAATGTCATTAAGGCACATTTTCTTCTATCTTAAAAGCTGGACAGTCACCAAAATTAAACATAGAATGGTATCTATTTAATGGAGAAATTGTAAAGGTTATAGTGTTACTTTTTGAGATTGTAATGTTGTTCTATTAACCCCAGTGACATTTCAGTGGTAATGAAGAACTTGACATGCATGGTGGAAGTTGATCAAGACTTTCAATTCTTCGAGAGGTCCAGCGACTATATACTCGCAAGAAGGATATGGTATGGAATAGCTTTCTACACCTCTGGGCTGGCAGATTTGTGAGATTGGAAGTTGTTTCAGTGTGGTGAGAGATGAACACTTTGTATGGTCTGGTAAAATTTGCTTTTGAAGTCACAAGTAAGTCTCAATAAAGGCATTTCCATTTATAGTTTTCTAACTGGCTATGTATTGGAAAGTTGGTGGTTCTACTCTTAAAAGGTGTGTCTGTCTTTGTCCGAACAATGTCATTAAGGCACATTTTCTTCTATCTTAAAAGCTGGACAGTCACCAAAATTAAACCTAGAATGGTATCTATTTAATGGAGAAATTGTTAAGGTTATAGTGTTACTTTTTGAGATTGTAATGTTGTGCTATTAACCCCAGTGACATTTCAGTGGTAATGAAGAACTTGACATGCATGGTGGAAGTTGATCGAGACTATCAATTCTTCGAGAGGTCCAGCGACTATATACTCGCAAGAAGGATATGGTATGGAATAGCTTTCTACACCTCTGTGCTGGCAGATTTGTGAGATTGGAAGTTGTTTCAGTGTGGAGAGAGATGAACACTTTGTATGGTCTGGTAAAATTTGCTTTTGAAGTCACAAGTAAGTCTCAATAAAGGCATTTCCATTTATATAGTTTTCTAACTGGCTATAAGACTTTTTTTGAATTTTTTTTAACCCCTGACATTCAGTTTTTAATGAAAATTTTAATTTATTTAATTTGGGTTTTAAAACTGGAGGGTGGGTTTTCTCCAAAATTGGATGGAATTTTTTTAATTTTAAGATTTGGTAATTTGGGTTGGTTTTTGGTTTGGAGAGGATCACTTTGTTATTCTGGTAAAATTTTTCTTTTGAAAATCAACAATTTTTTAAAAAAAAAGGATTTTATTTAAAAAATTTTTTTTTTTTAAAATTTTGGGTTGTAATTTTAAAAATTTGGGTTTAAAAAATTTCCTTTTGTCCCCAAAAAAAGAAATTTCACATTTTTTCCAAAAGAAATCCCCAAAAAAAAAACAAAATTTTCTAATTTTATTGGAAAAGGTTTTTATTTTTTTATTTTTTAAAAAATTTAATTTTGGGCCCTTTAACCAAAAACAAAATTAAATAAAAAAATTTTAATTTATTAAGTTAAAAAATCATTTATATAGGGCCATATAACCTTTCAACATTCTTTATAACTAATAATATAGAGATAAAAACAGTACTGCCGATCTACTTGGATAATAACGGGTATTGAATAAGGGGTTGTCAAAATACTTTGGTTGGACTGTAAAAGAAATCCTTGTGCAAAGCCAGATATTTCTTTACTTCATTTATTTATAACTTGGATGAAGAGAAATTTCTATATAGGTTCCAAAAGATTTAAATACCAAGCTATTCATTCATGTATCCATCAGCAAGCCTTAAATTATCTTTGTATCCCCTCCGCGACCCACACCAGTTTTGGTAAGGTTGGTCAATAACATTTTTTTTATCCAAAATATTTTTTCCTTCCAAAGTTATATGGTATAAGTTATATATTAAACAAATTGTGAATGTTTAACATCTGTTAAAAGGTTAGAACCATATTTATTCAACATATATCCAAATTTTATCTTTACAATTATAAAAACAGGAGACTAAAATAAAGATGTGACACACTTGTTGGCACCCTCTGTTTCCATGTTTAGAAAAAAAAAAAAGAATTTGCTAGGCAATTAAAATTTTTGGGTAGCTGTAATTTTGGTGGGTATGTTGTGGGAGGGGAAACAATATTTTATTTTAGGCCTCATTAAACTGAATATGCATACACAGAATGATATAATTTATTAACCTTTTACCCCATGAGCATATTGCGAAAAATGGCCGTTTTCATTGAAAAGCCTCCAGTAACAAGTTCAAACTGCTATGAAACTATGAAAAATGCTTCAATACTGATGAAACTTGGCACAAATGTTGACTACACCATAGCCTCTGTAACAGCATGCTCAATCGTAAATTTCCTGTTACCATGGCAACGGGGGGACGTCTCAAAATTGCCAAAAATCACTATTTTGCATTGTTTTTTTCCATCAAAACTGATTTCAAAGTGCTGCAACTTCTCAATGAATTGAGATAGAGTAAAAGGCTTTTCAGCGTCGGTTACTAGTTACCCTAAGATCGACCTGAGGCTAATTTTAGTCTGTCACATGTCCAAAATTTTCTTGGCGATGAGGGGTACTCCACCCCCCTTCAAACCCCCCAAACAGAAGGGGGCACATCCCCCTTCTGGCAACCCCCTGATGTAACATTTGGATGGGGGACGGCGCCGAAAAAGTGGTCACTTTTTTTAACAACATTTCTCAAACGAAAACCAGTGTTTGGGGCCTAAATAGGGCATATTTTCACTGTTTGAGGCCTCAAAAAGGGGGGGGGCAAAAAGCCGTCGAAACACGCTTATATGAGGGAAAAGGTTAAAGGTAACTTAAGAAATGATATTCATTATGTAAGAACGCCTTAGTGTTGGAATAATGGCCACTTCCTTTTTTTTATATGTTTTGGGTGAATTTTCATTATTTGTGGACAGTTGATTCTCCTCTAGTTATTTCCATTTCCTTTCCAATTAATCAAAATTTTTGATTTTTTCAAATGTATCCATTATTGATCTACAAAATATTAACAATACTTTGATATCGTCTCTATCGATGACAGCTTCTATTTGTCACAGTTACACATATGGCAAAGTAGAATGCATATAATTTATAGAGAATAACATGCTACAGCCATTTACTATCAATTTTTGGCTCTTTTTTGACAAAATTTCTCGTTTCAGCTTTTTTTTGTAAAGATTCATATCCAATAAGCTATCATATGATAATAATTATTCACTTAAAAAATGCTGAATCAAATTAATATGCATTTTTAATGGACAGAAATCTCTGACTAGTTTTGCTTAATTGTCTCCCTTTAAATTTAAAATAGTTTCTTTATATTTAAAAACAAAAGCATCACACATTTGCTATGAACTTGAAATCCTTGCCTGCTATCAAGGACAAGTAGTTCTGCCCCCTTTTCTTCTTTTGTTTTAAAGTGGAGCATGCTGGTCTTGTTATTTTGATAAAATTGGTGGTTGGTAGTTTTCACTCCAGATCACGGCAATAAGCCACTTTAAATTTACCAGAGCTCAATTCGGCCACTGCATTGCTGTCATGCATGTTTACCAGTACTGATTGCCTGATTTTTCACAAGGAACCGATAACTTCTGTTCATGCCAAGGCAGTGGTACAGTGTGAATGACCATAGGAAGAATTTCATGATCAGTCACATTGAAAGTGACCTGCATTGTCAGGGAATCGAAGTCAGGTCACCAGGGTTCCAAGGTTACATAGAAATCCTTTAAGCTCAAACTCAGATCTTAGGTTTCTGATTGGTCAGAAACTCCCACAGAATGTACGCTGACCAATGAGAATCCTGAGATTTAAGACAGGACTCAGAAAAAAAGTTTTATAACCCCAGGGCCTGATTCATAGTCCAACACTTTGCCTATTGAGCTAACCGGATGGCTATTTTGATAATTTGTCTTATTAATGCCATTTATACTTATTGTTGATACTCTAATTGGTCATCTTTCATGTATTAAATCATACTGATATTTACAATTTCTTCTGTATTTTTTTTGTAGGAGATCTGATGGTTCATCGGAAAATGGTGTAGTGTGTGTGCTTTGATCTGACGGGACAATTATTCCATTAAATAGTAAGAAAGTTTCAATGATTTACAAAATGTATTAACATTTATTAAAAGTTGTTTCATGTCGACCGAGAACCACCGACCTTTCATAGTTATTTCATTAAACTTTAAAAAGTAAAGAATTTAGCAAAATATCATTATTATTTATCAGTTAAAATAATTTATTTGAATATATTAGTTGTAAGGAATGTATAATGTATGATAACTAGCATTTCTCTTTTTAAAAAATAAGTACTAGATGATATTTTCCATCATGTTATCAAGACGAGAGACAAGGCAGTAAGAATTGCAATGTTTTTAGTTGCTCAGCATTGTGAAAGACGAGGCAAGTACAGAACAGAGGTAAAATATTGAATAGGTGAAATATTGTATTTATTGTGGCGGGAGGGACATAAATAAATCTCATTATGAATAATATGTTGTGGTTAGTGAAATGAATAGAAAAAGATATAGTGAATTGCCTGGAAAGAAATGAGAATGAAAACATTGTGTAGTTTTGAGAATATGAATAGGACATGAAAAGTCAGTGTAGTGAAAAATTGAAAGCGTTGTTTGAAATAGGAAAGATATGAATGAACTGCAAGAGGTCAGAAATAGACATTTTTGAAAAATGGAAATTTGAAAGTGAAAAATGAATGAAAATAAATGGAAAGGGAGAGAATACATGGAGATTTGAATGGAAACAATTGAATAATTGAGTCAAGGAAATGAAATGAACTAGAAGAGTTGAAAGAAATGAAAAGAACTAGAGGAGAGTTGAATGAAATGAAAAGAACTAGAGGAGAGTTGAATGAAATGAAAAGAACTAGAGGAGAGTTGAATGAAATGAAAAGAACTAGAGGAGAGTTGAAAGAAATGAAAAGAACTAGAATAGAGTTGAATAAAATGAAAAGAACTAGAGGAGAGTTGAATGAAATGAAAAGAACTAGAGGACAGTTGAATGAAATGAAATTTGAAAGCAAAAATAGTTCATCATATGTGAAAAGCGAATGAATATAAAAGAAAATCGAGAAAATGTAGATGAAAAAAGATAAGAAAGCAATTGACTTTCTAGACAGATCAACATTCTGTAGAAAGTCAATTTCAGGTCTCCTGGCATACATGATTGTTGTTTGTTTGCACCTCCCCATCATAGTTCTGCCATGAAGGGGAAGTGCATTATATGACATATTTTCTACTTTATTCTCATCTAACTTTATCTAGATCTTTACAAAACTTTCTTTTCTATAGTTTTCCTCACTTATTGACCAGAAAAGATTATGTAGGTAATGACCATTGGTCATTGACATATACCAGTTGTGACAAACCTCTCCATCAAAACATTTGATCTTACTAGCTTTTATAATGACATTGACCATGACATTGACCAATTTACAAGACTTTACAAACCAGTCGTGGCTTTCCCTATAGTTATAGATGGGGGAAGCTTTTTGACTAATTTACTTTTACTACTAGGCCTATGCAACCTTAGACCAAAACTTTTTCCGGTTATTGGTCAGACAGAGACATTTGGCATTTATTGAAGCTCTTTGGCGGCAGTTGAATGGTGGGAGATGTGTACTTGTGACTTAAACCTCAGTGTCTATTCTAGGACTTGTTAATGCGAGATTCACACTATTTTTTCAAAGATTGCGCACATTTTGGAAACCCATGTGTGAAATCCTGCATCCAAATTCATCAGTTTTCTCAAAAAGCATAAAGGTCTAGACAACTTATTTTGTTTACATGAACAAGGGGAAGCCAAAGGGAGGTAATTGTGAACTAAATAAACAATCTCCTTCACAGTGATCTCCCCTTGTTAGTATAGTGATTACAATCTGCCAAGGGATGTAATCATTGGGAGGAGTTTGCTAAATTAAATCAATACTTTTTGTTGACAACTCCTTTTAAGTTTTTCTATAAAGTTTGTGACGG